TTTTGAGCGGTTGTAAAGAAACGCATAGATGGTCTGACTCCCGGCATCTGAAAATACCGGCCAAAACCGCGGTTTTTAATACCGTTGCCTACCGCGGTTTTTTTGAAAATTTTTTTCCGTGGGTAGAAAGTTTAAATATCAAAATTATTTCCATGAAGTTCGACAAAAATAGGTTTTCGCCTCTTCAATGCATTGAAATTCAATTTAAAGTACATCATTGGATAGAGAATCAAACGCTACATCACGTCCATATGTTTTCCAAAAAGATTTTTCGGTTTGGGCAATTAGGACAAGACATTCAAAATACTTTTTGCCAAAGAACATATTAAAACAATCTGTAATTCCGTACCAAAAATACATATAAATTTATTTCCAAGGACATCATTAGAAAGAGAGCGAAATTGTACATAAGATAGGCTATTTTCTTTTTCTCACAAATCAACTTCAAAAAAGTTGAAAACATGGTCTCATAAAGTGGGCGAAGCGACGGCTTATTCTGCTAGAAAAATGAGAGCTGTTACAGAGATTAAAAACGACATGTTTTCAACTTTTTTGAGGTTGATTTGTGAGAAAAAGAAAATAGCCTATCTTATGTACAATTTCGTGCTCTTTCTAATGATGTCCTTGGGAAAAAATTTATGTGTATTTTTGGTAGGGAATTACAGATTATTTTAATATGTCCTTTGGCAAAAAGCATTTCGAATATCTTGTCCTAATTGCCCAAACCGAAAAGTCTTTTTGGAAAACATATGTAGGTGATGTAGCATTTGATGCTCTATCCAATGGTACACTTTAAATTGAATTTCAATGCATTGAAGAGGCGAAAATCTATTTTTGTCGAGCTTCATGGAAATGATTTTGATATTTAAACTTTCTACCATATAACTTCTTAATTGTCAGCAATCTTTTTTTCCCAGCATGTAGTTTAGACTTTCCCCTTTTGAGTGGATGCCGACAAAGAATCGTTTGTGTGAAAAAAATTAGTATTGATTGAGCATGTTTAGATTAGGAGGGAGAGGGGGATCTTATAATTATGAGACAGGGATGACTCGAGAGTTCTTGAGTTTATTCATTAATGCTAATTGATGAAATTCAAACGAATATCCCACATGATAGACTACTACTATGTGTCCATGGATATGACATCAGATTGAAAACGAAACCTCGTTTAGTCGGAGAAATCTTTATTTTTCTCGAAATTCAAAGAGAGGGTCTTATAATTTTGAGACACCCTGTACAAATAGACTACTTTCATCAAGATTTTTTTTCTTCATAAAAAATTCCTTCAATATTATTATATGTAGCACATAATAAAAGTTTATTTAATAAATAAACAACGTAAATCAATCGTAAATAATTGTGTAAAATAAGATAATGCATATAATTTCATGATAAATATAGTTTCTATTCGTATTTGTCTAAGAGGCTCATCATTATTACTTATAAAAAGTAGATCCGTTGGTCATAAAAATATTATTACCATGAGCTATTTCAGTAATAAGAAAAATTGAATATATTAAAAAAATAATTTCATTATCAAAATTTAAACAAGAAAAATAATTAAAATTTTTTAATGAATCAAACCGTGTTAATGATAGTAATAAATCAATATCAATAAGATCGAATATAAATATTTGACTTGAACTATTTGAAAAAATTAACGAAACTTCTTCATAGAAGATTAATTAATGAAACAAGACTACCTCCATTTGGGTTCGATGAGCATCAAACTTTATACAGTATTATTTTCTTCATTATTCCAATTTGTTTTATATTCATTCGATTGGTTAATGTAAACTAGGGATGTCACTTTGATGAAGTAGATGTGTTAATAATTTTCTCTACTTTTGTACAGACAAAATATACTGTTGTTCGAGCGGGTCTAAGCTTAATGAGAGTGCTCGCTTAGCTGGTCGGTAACAGTACTTTCCCTTTTCTAGTTAGGACCAGAGATACTAACAGGCCAGGCCAAAAATCAAACAGTGGCCTGCGGCCTGGCCTGACCTGCAGGCCAAACCAGGCCAATTGATGTTTCTGATTTTTCAAATCCATTATATTCTATAACTCTGTATTAATACATGATTCCAACTTCAATTATTTGTTTTATTTATTTTCATGAAGATAATGGAATAACAAGTTTTTGCACAAAATAGCAAATTAAAACAAAGAGACAATCATCTTAAATATTTTTCATACAAGAAAGACTTGAATTTACGAGATTTTTTGATGATATCAATACTTCTTCACATAATGGAAAGATATTTAAGTATAATAACAAAAACAACATATGATCCGGGATACGACGAAGAGTTGAAAGAAAATATATAAGTAAAACGTAGGAAATAAGAGAGAGTAACAGCAATAAGAAAGAACATTTACATTTGACTATTCAATTTGGCAACAGTACGAATGCAAAGCACATTATCCAATTGTTCAGGATGTAAACAAGTTCTTCTATTAGTTAATGTAAGTCCTGCAATACTAAATTGCCGCTCTATTCCAGCACTAGTTGCTTGAATACTATGAATTTGTCTAGCAACTTGTGATAAATGAGGTAATTCATCAGTATTTGATTTCCAGAATGTAAGAACATCAGAACGATAATTTTTCATATCGATTTTCATCGATAAATATCGGCTAAGTTCATCAGATTGACCCATAGGTAATGAATATTCAACACTTCTGGTATCATAATCATCATCACACTCATCATCATATGTATTTGCATCATCTTTTAAATCATCTAGAATAGATGAATGTTCGGATTTGAGTGATTTATTCTTTTGTATGTCATTATTGTTGTTCTTCTGTTCTTTTTCAATTAATTTCAATTATTCTCGAACATAATTGTGACATTCAACTCTTTCATCATTTGTGCATCATTTAAGACTACGATAATCTGGATCTAAAAGAGTTGCACAATAATGTCTGATATCTAAATCAATCATATCGTGTAATAATGTTAATATCCGTTGACGAATATAACTTACACCTAAAAATAGTTACATAAAAGAAGAGTAC